CCCCCCCCCCCCGTCTTGTACCTCCGAGGGTTAACATCCCAAGACTATCATTCACGTGTAAATGAAAGTGGTTTTGGAATTTTGGTGGCACTGTTGATTTAACATGCGCGGTTAACTTTGACTCAAACGAACAATAACTTCGGAGCAATATTGCAATATACACATTACCATTCTTTCAAAAGTAGACTGAGTCCACTTAAGCACCTACTGGTAAAAAATTTTACCAGCAGTAAAATGAAAATATTTTATATAGTTTCATATTATTGCTAAATGACACCTGCAGTTCTTTTCAAAGTTTCATACCCATCGAAAAACTGAAAAGAGTTATAGCTCATTCATTCATTATTACTCATTGTCATAGTTCATAATTGCGCCTGTAATGACAACGGAGCCACCTTGGGTCCCTTGGGCATGACCCGTAAACAATGGTTTGATTTGAACGTGATTTGTGAACTTTTAAATGGATTTCATCATCGGCGAATTTGATAAGGCAAAAAGATCGGTTCAATAGTTTAGCCGTTGCATGTAAATAAGCCTTCTTTTTTCAGGCTTTTTTTAAAGACTGTAGATTATAGTGAATTCAAGCCCAAATTGTTAGTGCACGGTTTTAGTTAATACTACATTAATTAATATTATATTATATATGTTGCAACTTTTAAAATTAGTTAGGATCGGAGATACTAGCTATGTAAGCTACACTAAAATCCGAGGATAAATAAAGTTTATGTATGTATGTATGTATGTATGTAGGCAAATGTTAGCGTGTATAAAGACTGCCTTAAGTCAATTAGGCGATAAGAAGCATATTGTCCTAAATTTCCAGGAAAACCAGTTACTTTTGGGGTGAAAAGAAGTTGGTTAAAACTTGAGTTCATGAATCTAGGCCTTTTTAATTTTCAGAGAATTACCCAATTGTTAACGTAAGCGTGAAGAAATTTCAGAAATGATTTGTAACGCACAAGCTTTCGCATATTTTGACATGAAGCACTTCACAAAGGGACATGGGTACCCTTTAACCTTAATAGAGAGTCTTTAATAGAATGACGGCAACTTGAATTGTACCACATGGAATATTTTCCTCACCATATTCTATTTATTTTGTCTTCAAAAGCCTTAAAATTATTTGGCATGGTTTTTATCTGCTCATTTCCCATTTCCCACTGTATGGCACCCTATCTGGATTTGGCCATTGTTTCCCGAAGTTCTCCTCAACACAGATCAGGATAACTTCCTTCACATTCTTGAAGTAACAGCCAAGGCCTTCTTTATGTTTTAAATAAACGGGGTCACGCCACAAGCCTCTTCTTTGCTATATGCTTTATAATCCCCTTTCCTCTTAGTATGGTTTGTCATATGGCCTTGTGCTTTCAATGTGGATAGTAGATTTTCAGGGAGAATCACACAGGGAGAGTTTCTGCAATAGCTGCAAAATTGGCTGTCTTCTGAAGGATCCATGTTACTTTGAGAGGCAAAA